TGGAATTATGGACATCAAAGACAATTCTGGTGAGGACTCAGAAGTGAGGAGAGCTGTTACACTGGAGACAGCACAGACGGCAGGAAGCAGCAGCAGAAAAATGGCAGCAGCAGAATCAAGAGACTAGCATGAGACAACACTGGAGCTGACCCACAGGGCGAGAGAGCTGAGTGCCTTTGGCAGGAGTCTTCCTGGCAGAGTTGGGTGCCTCCGAGCACTTATCGGTGGTGCTAGGCTTGCCAACCCACAGAGCGAGAGTTGAGTGCCTTCCGACCTAAGTTTACTGGTGAAGTGGGGTGCCCCCAGGCACTTAACAGTGGAGCTACAGAGCTTTGGAACACTTGCCTCAGCAGGGCAGATGTGGGCAGCAAGGCCCAAGGGGCCAAAGGTCAAGGAACCAGGAAGCAGAAGCTGAAGAAACAAGGAACACAGGAAGCAGAGCTTCCTCAGTCTCAAAGGGTGGGGCCAGGACTTCTGGGGTCTCAAAGGGTAGAGTTACCACTCAGATGGACTAGGAGAATTGGGCCACCCAAATTCAAGGGGGCAGAGTTGTCATTCCAGGGGGCCTGGAAGGCAGAGTTGAAGCCCAGGGCCGAGGGGCCTCCACTCAGAATCTGGAGAGTGTAGCCAATACCTAGAGTCTGGAGGGCAGGGCCATTGTCTAAATGGTCTCAGAGAGCACAGGATTATTTTCATGCCTTGAGAGCTAACGTGATGTGTTCTGCCGACTTGCTTGATACCTGTTATCTCTTCTTTCCCTACAGTGTCTCCCATTTGTAATGGAAATGTCTAGCTTATGCCTGTTCCACCATTGTATTTTGGAAGCAAATAACTTGTATTCTAGATTTCACAGATGGAGAGGAATTTTTGGATTTTGGACTTGGAGTTGAATTAAGACTTTTGCTATGATATGATGGGGTGAATGTGTTTTACATGTGGTAAGGACATGAATTTTGGGGGACCAAAGAGTGGAGTGTTATGGATTGAATTGTGTCCCCCAAAAATGTGTGTTAACTTGGCTAGGCCATGATTCCCAGTATTGTGTGATTGTCCACTATTTTATCATCTGATACGATTTTCGTATGTGTTGTAAATCCTGCATCTATGATATTATAAGGCAGGAGTCAATCTACAAGATCAGGTTGTGTCTTAAGTCAGTCTCTTCTAAGATATAAAAGAGAGAAGCAAGCAGAGAGACAAGGGAACCTCATGCCACCAAGAAAGCAGCGCCAGGAGCAGAGTGTGTCCTTTGGACTCGGGGTTCCTGTGCTGAGAAGCTCCAGGTCCAGGGGAAGATTGATGACAAGGACCACCCCTCAGAGCCAACAGAAGGAGAAACTCTTCCCCTGGGGCTGGCACCCTGAATTTGAACTTCTAGCCTCCTAGACTGTGAGAGAGTAAATTTCTCTTTGTTAAAGCCCTTCACTTGTGATATTTCTGTTATAGCAGCACTAGATAACTAAGACACTGGTCAAAGACTGGTCTAAGGCTGGCCATCCAAGGCACAACAGTTGGCCTCTATTCACCTGGAGCAACAAAGGAAGATAGAGAGCCAGAAACAGGAGGAAGATACACAATATGTGGCTAATTGCCTCCATGTACAACTGCCTCCTTTGCTATGAGACCAGAAGAACTGGATGGCGCCCAGCTACCATTACTGAACATTTTGATCAAAGAGTCCATAGAAGAATCCTGATCTAAATGGGAAAATGCAGAACAGAATTTGAAATTCTCATGGACTCCAG